AAGTCCCAAAAAATTTCACCACCAGTTCGGTGAGCATGGCTAGGAGGGGGGAGTATTCGACTGAGTGGGCATGGCCAACTTGATGTCACTCATGCACATGCAGTCACATGATCACCCCCACCAAGCCACGTCTACCGAACTGGTGGTGAAATTTTTTGGGACTTTTTGATACTTTTTTTTGAGGGGGGGGGGACACAGCTGACACGGTTCAGCATGCCAGCTGTTAGAGGCGAGAAGGGATGCTCCTCCCATGGTTGTCGCAAAAGCTACCCAGGTGAGCTGCTCCCCACCTCCCCAGGCCAGGCCCACAGCTCGCGCCAGACCGAGGCCTCAGCCCACTCTCTTTGTCCATCTGGCTGGCAGAAGTGGCAGTGGCACTGGTCAGACTGCTGGCTCTCAAAGAGGCATCTGAGAGCACCTATATCAGAAAAGTGAATTCATAAGCTACTTAAAATTGATCCTTCTTTAACTGATTCCCCCTCACTCTTTCCATCTCCTCCATGGGATTTGGGACAGGGCATTTGGAGCAGCCCCTTTTCTGCCTCACTGCACATTCATAGGATACCTAAAACTGCTAAGGAGAAGAATCCAGGCACCCGAAGATTCTGCAGCACTGGTCTGAAGGCACATGAGTTTGGCTAGGATACCATGCAAGCTTAAAATGAAGCTTAAAATGAGAAAAGCAACCCTGTGAAGTGACCGAGGGTGCTGGAAGCCAAGAGGGTTTTTTTCCACCCAGCTGCTGGCCGCAGGGCACCAAAAAGTCTTCTGGTCACTGCCGCCATTTTCATGTATGCACAGCTTTCTTCTCACCAGCTGGAGGATTTTTTGGTGACCTGCGGCCAGCAGCTAGGTGGAAAAGAAGTCCTCAATCCTCTAGCACTCAAAGAGGCAGCTGAGAGGGTTCTTTTCCACCCAGCCACTGGCCACAGGGCACCAAAAAGTCGTATGGTCACTGCCGCCATCTTCATGCATGCACAGGTTTCTTCTCACTGGCTGGAGGAGTTTTGGGCACCCTGTGACCAGTGGCTGGGTGGAAAAGAATCCTCTCAGCTGCCTCTTTGAGTCCTGGAGGATCAGAGGCTTCTTTTCTACCCAGCTGCTGGTCGCAGGGTGTAGAAAAGTCCTCCAGCTGCTGAGAAGAAAGCTGCCCATGCAGGAAGATGCTGGCAGGAACCTGAGGACTTTTCAGCACCCTGCAGCCAGCAGCTGGGTGGAAAAGAAGCCTCCGATCCTCCGTCACTCAAAGAGGCAGAAGTGGTATTCAGCAAATTCTGACCAGTTCTGGAGAACCGGTAGTGGAAATTTTAAGTAGTTTGGAGAACTGGTAAATACCACCCCTGAGTGGCCCTGCCCCAACTATTCTCTGCTTCCTGAGTCCCATCTGATCGGGAGGAAATGGAGATTTTGCAGTAACTTTTGCCTGGAATGGGGAGGGATTAGAGATTTTACAGTATCCTTCCCATGCTACGCCATGCCCACCAAGCCACGCCCACAGAACTGGTAGTAATTTTTTTTTTAATCCTACCACTAATAATAAGGAAAGATGAAGGAGAGAATGGGAAAAGTGTAACTGGATAGGACAGGAAAGGAATTTGCTCTCTGCATATAGAGAGTATCAGAAATGGGGTAGAGAATAAAAACAGCACTAGAGCCTCTTTGGCTGGGTCTCCTTTACTATAAGAATTAATGGAGGAATTAGCTTCCGCTTGAATTCAGTTCAACCCAGACTGTCCCTCTCACTGTTTGCAGAGAGTCCTGCAAAAGCTTTGGCAGCTGGCTCAGAGCAATTCTATGTAAGCTTTTTGCTGGGCTCAACCCCCACCAGGGACCCAAAACAGTCTCAGAGCGTTCTTTCCCTCTGAAACACCACTTTCATCACTTTGCACATCTGAGCTTATTGGCATTGCAGCAGTGCATGTGTTTGTGTAATATATTTTTCAGCTAAATTCTTGGAACTTGATATTAGAACATCTGAACTCCCTTCACTCAGAACACTGTTCTTTGGAGAGAATGGCTTTCCATGAGTTGCATATGCATTGTCCTTCATAGGAGAGGAAATGGCTGTCCTTGCCATATTTGTATAATTAAAGAAAGAATGTGTTTGCTTAGATTACAGATCCTTTCAGATATTTATGGTAAGCATAGGAAGAGCTGCATATGAGACAGTTGACAGGCTTGCCTCAAATACAGTGGTTTTAGGCAGAAAAGCTTCCCACTGTGCTGGAAAAGAAGCCTTACTTTTGTCTTGTAGATGGAGGGTTCTTCAAACATTCAGTTTAGCCTCTAACCCTAATTCTTGGTATTCACATGAATCCCAAGTTTCTTCATCAGTTTTTTCATCATAATTCTCATCCATTCATCTCATCATCCATATATGAAAATAGTTTCTCAGCAGCAAAGTTCTATTTGCCCTCTTGTACCAACCATAATTGGGATAAGCAATTCTGTTGCTAAGGTCACAATTGTAAAGTGAACTGTCATGTGTCCATACCAACTTATGACATCAGTTCTTGTTGCAATCATTAAGTGAATCACCCACAGTTGTTAAGCATGACATTATGCAATCATGACTTGTGACTTTCAGCTGGCTTTCCCATTGACTTGGTGATGGTCATAAATGGTGATCACATGACTGTGGGATACTATGACTGTTGTATATGAGCTCCAGTTGCGAAGTGCTCAATTCACAATTATGTGATTGCAGGGATACTGCACACTGCACGTTTGAGGATCGTTCATAAATCTCCTTTTTTGGCACTGTACTATGGTCACTGAAGTAATGTTCGGTAAACAAGGCCTTCCTGTATTTTGGGGAGAGGAAGCTCATGAAGTACTGGATACAGAATGATGTGGCCAAATGCTTCCTTATTTTTAAACAGAAAACTTCCAGCCAGTAGTTGAACTGGGTGACATTGAGTTTACATCATTGGGACTTATTCAAAGCAGTGGTGGGTTTCAATTTTTTTTGCCACTGGTTCGGTGGGTGTGGCTAGTTTGGGGGCATGTGACTGAGTGGGCACTGCCAACTTGATGTCACTCAGTCACATGGCCCACCCCAACAAACCAAAGGTTTTGGGACTTTTTGACACTTATGACCCTTCGGCTCATAGCTCTGGATGCCGCAGGGTGGCAGTGGTCATCCCAGCTTTCCCTCCATTACCCTTCCTGGCTGAATAGCCATGGCTGGTGGTCTGTGGTCTGTGGAAACGAGGTGGCCCTCTTACCCGGGGACCAGGGGCCTGGGTGTGTCCTTGGTGAAACTGCCCCCTGAGGTCCAGTGGGAAGCCCAGTCGCTGATTGGGAAAGAAGTCTCACAGCTGCCTCTTTGAGAACCGGCACCCTGACTGGTGCTGCCGCTGCTCATGCCAAATGGGAGCGGGCTGCGGCTTTGGCCTTGGTCTGGCACGACTGTGACGGCTGTGGGAGGAGGACCCCTTCTCACCTCTGACTGGCCTTCCCCATGGTTGCAGCCAGAGCACCCCGCTTCTGCTGGTGCACTGAGCCTGGCTGCAAGATGTGCATGGCCAATGGCTGGTTTGGAAGCCTCCCAGCTGGCTCTCAAAGAGGTGGCTGGGAGGCTTCTTTGCCAGCCAGCCATTTCCCAGCAGCAGCGGCTGATTGGGGGCCACCAAAAACTTGCCTTCTGGACTCTGGACCAGCCTCAGTGGATGATAAGTAGCCCGAAGAAAGAGATGGTGCTCAGACGTGGGACTAGGGCTGGGACCTTAGGAAGGGTGGGGTGGCAAGAGAGCAGCGGCTCCAGGACAAGGTTGGAGCTGGGGAATGGCACATTCCCCAACCGGGCCAAGGTGGGCGGCGAGAGGGCAGTGGAGAGAGGGCAAGGCTGGAGCTGGGGAATGGTGAATTCCCTGACCCAGCCAAGACAGGCAGCAAGAGGGTGGAAGCTCTGGGGCCTCAGGGAATGGCTTGTCACTGGGGGCCCAGCTCCTGACACAGGGCAAGCGGACGGTATGCTTACTTACTTTTGGTGAGCTGAACAGAGCAGGCAAGGCACGGAGTGACTGGCGAGGTGCATAACTGGGAGCTGGGCTATGTGGCAAAGGGGTCAGATGGGCAGGGTGAGCACCAAGTGAATGAGTGAGCATCAAGCAGGTGGGGCAAGCGAGCGTCAGGCGGGCGGGGTGAGCAGCGGCAGGGGGACTGGTTCAGGGGCATGGCCAGCCAGCCAGCCATCTCTATCGGTTCTCCGACCTTGGGAAAATGGCTGCCACCGGTTTGTGCGAATCACCTCTGATTCAAATGTGTGTTTTATCTAGCCAAGTCCAAAGGGAGAATTATTTTGGAAGAGATGAGGGAAAGAATAGGAGATGCCACTTGCTCAAATTTGGTGATTGGTTTCATTGGAAGATACTTGAGTATCAGTAAAACATTGCAGTAAATAGTTTCCCAACTAGCATTAATTGGTACCAGAAAAGGTGAGAAAAAAGTCTTATGAACATCAATGAGATTTTTATAGTGAAGAAATTACACTATTTTGCTATATAAAAACAGAAACAAAGTCAATATTATGATGATATATTATTGGTTTCTGTATATCAAGTTTCAACAGAAATATTTAACTGACAATATTTCCATTTCTTTTCAGATCTAAAACTGATGCTTTGAAAAGTGAACAACTCATAACCAAACATAATGAGGAATTATCACCATTTGATTTTTGCAACAATCTGTGGTTTTATACTCTTAGGCAATCATGAGGCTGATGCACAGGTTAAGGAAATTAGTAAGTGTCTTCTAGTTTTAAATGATTCACTATTTAAAATTGAAATTTATCCCAGGTTTTCCTTGGAAATTTTGAAGGGAAAATATATTGCTATTGTATATTGCTGTAGTACTGATTGCCAGTGTCTATCTTTGAATCTTTGCCATATTTACATAGGCATATTTATTGTAATGTATCACATCTCTTGCATGCATGCCTTGGTGAACAAGCAGTTGCCTCTGCTGTATCTACCCTTTTCATCCTTATACAATGGGTCTGCTGGAATAAATCAATGTCATATATACACAGTATATGAAAAATGGGGATATTTTTGTGAAAGGGAGCCAATTTTCATATGTTACATTTCTAAAGAGATAGATGTTCTTTTTCCAATGATACAGATGATTGATTTTATGCTTGATTATTATTTTTTGCAGTAAAGAATTAAGTAAAATTACAAAATATTTGGGAAATATTGCACATTGGTACAATTTTCAATTAATTTTAATTTGACTTTTCTTCTGTCTGATGAACAAAGAGATCATCATGTTCTTATAATATTGGTAATATACGAAGGTATTTAATATAAACCAGAGTAAAAGACGCAGAACTAGTACTATAACAACTTATTTCAGAACCTTTTTAAAATAAATCTGAAAATTCCCACAAAAAAACTGTTTCTCCCAGCTGCCCATGAACTCTTTCCATTAGCAAGTCTTCCCTCCATGCACCAGATCTCCACTTTTCTCTTTTAGTATCTGCCATGTAGTATGGGGTAGAGAAGGAAATATGCTCCAATATATTCCAGGGAAAAAGAGGGAGGGACTTTTCTCCAAAAAGGAACTGGACTGCTGAGTATCATGGTGAAAATCAGTTACTGATTATTCTAAAGCAACTGAGCTCTCATAAAATGCTAAGCCATAAACTATTATAACCCACATTGGTTAGTTTCATGCATTAAACCAAAACTCATGACATTACAGCAGGGGTTCCCAACCCCCTTGCTGTGGCCCGCTACCGGATGTGGCTTGTTTGGAACAGGGCTGCATGAATGGTGGGCCAGCGTGCACAAACGCATGTGCAGCTTAACTTGTGCAATTTTGGGCCAGCTTGCACATGTGTGTGCGCATGGGTGAGCCGATTCCCCTCTCCCTCTTCCAGGCCACCGAGCTGTAAAGGTGCGGAACCACTGCTTTACAGGCTATGTGAACTAGGGGTGAGAGAGCAAGAGAGAGATGGAGGAGAGAAGCAGAAAATCTCCTGCCACTCATTTAAGAAGTGGGTGGTCCTGTTCAATGGAAACTCATTTATGGAACTTCAGATGACACATTAAGTGCTGTCCAAATTTTCCCCCTTTCAACATCTCTTGTCTTCTGGATTAGTCTCGGTATTCCTCAATGAGTCAATATATTTGTATATTTAATATATTCCATAATTTGTGAAGTCCCTATAAAAGAAGAAACCAAGTATATAAAAGCACCCTTTCTTACTCTTACCTTGGCAAGGAAATCACACTAAGATCATACCATGAGCAGAAAACTTTTAGATTAGATTAGATTAAGAGTTGGAAGGTACCTTGTAGTCCAAGCCCCTGCCCAAGCAGGAGACTCTACACCATTTCTGACAAATGGCAATCCAATCTCTTCCTGAAAGCCTCCAGTGATGAAGCTCCCACAACTTCTGAAGGCAGGCTGTTACATTGGTTGATTGTTCTCACTGTCAGAAAATTTCTCCTTATTTCTAGGTTCTAGGTCCTTGGTCAGTTTTCATCCATTATTCCTTGTTGCCCTTGCAAATATTGCAGTGGAAACAGTTCTAGCTTAGTTTTACAAGGAAAATGCATTTCTGCAAGCTGCTTTAGAAGTTTAAAATTGCCACATCACTCAATGTTCGTTAAACAAGAATAATTTCCTGGATTTGAAAAGTTTCCATCTGCCCCAGTGTAAATGAACTCAGTGTTGTTGGTGATATAAAAGAAGAGCCTGGCTATTAATGTAGGACAAGATCTTCCTCCCCACCATGACCTCTGGAAAATCATAAATCAATGTGTTTTTTTAAAGATGTCAAAATTGGTGCTGCTGCTGATATAATATTTCTAGTGGATTCCTCTTGGAGCATTGGAAACGAAGATTTCCAACTTGTTCGGGAGTTTCTGTATGATGTTGTAAAACAATTAGATGTGGTTGGAAATGATTTTCGGTTTGGTCTGGTCCAGTTCAGCGGAAACCCTCATTCAGAATTCCAGTTAAACACCTATCATACTTTGCAAGATGTCCTCTTCCATATTTCACACATGCCTTACATGGGGGGAGGAACCAAGACCGGAAAAGGATTAGAGTTCCTAATTCGGAACCATCTAACTAAAGCTGCTGGAAGCAGAGCAAGCGATGGCATTCCCCAGGTTATTATAGTGTTAACGGATGGACGATCCCAAGATGATGTGGCTCTACCATCATCTATACTTAAAACTGCTGAGGTAAACATGTTTGCCATTGGAGTACAGGATGCAGTGGAAGGGGAATTAAAGGAAATAGCAAGTGAACCCCTTGATATGCACCTATTCAACCTAGAGAACTTTACTGCTCTCCACGGCATTGTAGGCGACTTAGTTGCCAGCATTCGCTCATCCATGGCTCCAGAAATGGCTGGAGTAGAAGGAGGGATTAAAGACATCACAGGTAACACTATCTGCTCTGCCGTTGCAATATTTGTGTCTGAGGGAATTATTTGCTACTTTTCCATAATTTTAAGCATTTTGGTATGTAGCACAAGGG